ATGCAGTGATCGATCAATCTGTCGGTCATGAAAGTCAATCACACTTTAATAAAGGGTGGACAGGCCTGCTATATAATATTTCGTCTTCATAAAAGCATTTGACAATTGGCAAATTTGGAAAACAAGAAATTGAAAGAATCGAAAAAATTGATCCATTTCTTGGGATCATTGCTTGTTTCTATTATGCTAAGAAATTTGCGCTATTTTTTATTTCCTTAAAATAATTAAAACGACAGAGAATTTTGAAGATATTAGAAAAATAGAACATGGAATAATCTCGTATCGCTCTTCGACAATGTAAATGCTTTGGTGCTAATTGTCGGATTTAATATTATTTTTAAAAATAAATTTCGTCGCCCTAATGACGAATGGCTCACGTGTACGCAGCTTTGGAATTCGGCCGTTGTAATTCGAGCCGCAAATCGTTCGTTCCCTCGACGTTATAATAGAAACTTTAACGTTATACGGCCTCCCCGGCTATTTCCATGTCTCTTCTGTCTTTGGTACGAACGCGCGGTCACATACCTCGTATAACAGTTTAACCAGCATTCGAATTCCTACGGAATTAGCGCGAGTTCGCCTGTGAAATTTCTCGTTCGCGTTATCCGCGGATGCAGTTCGCCGTGGGAGAAGCAACGAGAGAGAGAGAGAGAGAGAGAGAGAGACAGAGAGGAGCCGGAAGAGAGGAGAGAATTGAGGTTTCGGAGGGAGACCGCTTACGGTCGCGATGGTGGTAGCGGCGGGACACGCGGCGGAAGAGGGTGAGGTGCGGGGGTTTGCGAAGAATGGCGTCGTGAATTACTTTTCCAAATGCTCCCGATCCGACTCGAGGCTCTCCTTTCTACCGCGCCCCTTCAGGGTAGAAGCATCCAGGGGTAGGTGGCTCTTCCAATTTCCAGGCGTGCCAACCAGATTGAATTTCTATCGTCGTCGACGACGACGACGACGACGACGAAGACGACGACGGTTGGCGGCCGATCATTTCGCGAGATATCGGGTAACTGGGTTATGTTTGCGAAAATGGCTTCGAGCCTCTCGATTTTTCTCGGTAATGCTACTCTCACCGTTCCCGATAATGTTCTCTTTCTCTCCTCCCAGTCTCCACGCGCGCCTACGTCCTCTTCCGTCTATCTTTTCTCTCTACGGTTCATTCTTTCTATCTCCTCGTTACCAACTCTCTGCTCTGTTCCCGCAAAACTATCGTTCGGTTGGACGAATCAAATGAATGCGACATCGAAGGCTCTCACGTTGATCGATCGAACGGCCGCGAATTGTGTCTCGTTGACAAACGTTTATTGCATCAGATAGAGAAAAGTGATGACGACAGATAGCATCGTCTTCTCGATATTTATCACACTATACGATACAATTTGAATCTCAGGGAGAATTCTGAATTAAAAGTTTGAATTCTAGTAACATATTGATTATGGTATATGGGACTTGTGGAATAGCTATCAAACTAAAGCAATCGAATCAAATATTAGAGCTTTATAGATATAGGGATGAAAGAAAGGATAGTATCTGTGAAATATAAATTTATTAAAGCGTAATTATTTTTTTAATTTAATTTTGCAAGAAAATATGTCTTTGATGATTAATAACATCCGTATTTTTCCCGTTTCGCTTATCCTCATGTCTATAAACTAGAAGTATCATTGGTTGTACCAGTTTCTCAGCATATACATATATATATACCCGTACCATAGTTATAGCATGCAACTTCGTATCCGACGTACGACATGTACAACAAAATCCGTTGCAAATAGCTCCTGCGGGTGCAGTAGCGAAGTTTGAAACGTACTCTTCCTTCATCCCCTCCTACCTTTTCGTCGTATCGGTAGGCGAGATCAGAAGAAGAGGTATTACCGAAGCGAAAGAACGATGGAAAGACTCTCTCGTCGTCGTCGTCGTCGTCGTCGTCGTCGTCATGGTTGACGACGATGTCGAGACGCTACTCGTTCGGGAGCGTGCGAGCGACCGGTGTGAACTTCGCCGTAGGGGATTATGCAAACGGGAGTGGTTCCCGAGATCGGGGGGAGGAGAGAGAGAGAGAAAACCGCGTCGTCGGGGTGGATGATGACGGTGACGGCGGACGGGTTCTCTTGCTTGTCATTACCACGTTCGTGGCTTCCACCGCCCGGGGTGCCGGTGGCTCTCTGAGAAAGCTTGGGAATAGTAAAACTCGCCCCCTCTCAGAGTTTGCGCACGAGAATACATTCTCTTTTGTTTTCTCTTTCTACTTTCTTTTTTAAGTGGCGCTCCGATGACGCTCTCAAAGCTAATTATACAAGCGTTCGCTGGAAGCCTCGCATCGACCTGATAAAATAATTCGAGATCGCGAAAGAGCGCCCAGGTGAGGCAAATGAGAAAATCGGGATTTTATAATTTGTGAACGGGAACGACAGCGCCATTTGGAGGATATTCATAATGTTATCGCGTATTATTTCGATTTGTTTTTCCGTTACATGCAAAATTAAATCTCAGGCAATAGAGTAAATAAATCTTAGATAAGAGTAGAAACCTATTTGTGTTAATAATATACAGATAAGTTAAAATCCTCCGTTCATGTTTCCAGCAGTAATTTATCTTTTTCATAGTGTGCGATATGTATTTACTAACACACATTTTTTTCTGTCATAAATATATGTTATAGATATAAAGAATTATTATTATGACTTGCAATAGTTAGCAAAACGGTAGTAATATGACATGGCGAAACTCAGAACTGGGTAGTCACGTTTAGCACTGAATGCGCGCCGAGAATACAGATGTTGTTTCATTTAGCATTAGAACAACTGGTGAAATCGGCTGATCCCTTCATCGTGTTTAAGTAGTATGGTGGTATTTTCAGCAAATGCTAGTGTCAACAATAAATACTCTTGTGGATTTCCGTGAGCTTAATGTTCAGGATGTTATTTATCTCACTATAAATCTAACACATATATAGGGTAGCTCGCAATGTAACATGTTCGTTAGATTTTCCATTAATACATGTACAATAATTTGTTTGACGTCAATAGTTTGAACTTCAACAAATTAATTTATAATATCTTTTCTATATTTATTTCACAAACATAAGTAATTGATACTTTTATCTAATATAATTGCGCGCGCGCACATAATTAAATTTGAATTGTAGACTTCGATAATAAATTCACTCATTCTTAATAAAATCTTTGTCATATAACTTATATTAATCGAGATTGCGGAAAGAAGAGAGATAAAAGAATTAAATAAATTATGATTTTATTCTGATCTTGGAACTGATATGATGATTTCGTTTTACAAGATTTATTTTTAGATTTATTTGGTTCATAACAGAAATGATTGATAGTGGAAATAATTGTTTAAAAGAATTAAACGAATTATGAGTTTATTCTAATCTTGGAACTGATATGATGATTTCGTTTTACAAGATTTATTTGATTCATAACAGAAATGATTGCAGAAATAATGTTTTATGGATATTGATCCGATATATTAAACGTGTATATATAGTAAATTGAAAGGATCGAAATAAAACCGTTAATAATCAAAATGATTAACATGGTCAAAAGAAAAATGATAAATTTGCCTGGTTAAAAGCAAAATGTAGTAACGTATGTGAAGAGTTATTGAAATGTAGTCACGTAATAGTAAAATCATGCAATCCAAAAGCAAGACTAATCAGCATAGCTCTATTCATTGATCAAAATCGGCAGCAGTTGGGGAATTCGAGATTAGGTCTTCGGGATTTGGCCAAAGCGTTCGGAAATACATTATATGGATATTGGCGAGGAATAACGGCTTTGAATTTGAATCTGTGACATAGAAGCTACTCACATCGCTTTGCGGTTGATGGGAGAATTGAGTATAGATCGCCATATATTCGCGAAAATATCATTTCGTATAAGGGAATTTTAACAGAATTTCGCAATACAATTTACGCGCTATCTTTCAAAAAATATACTATGCTATAAAATATATATGCTACTAAACTATATACTATAAAATATTATTATGAATAAATCTCTTTTATTTTTGCATAAAATCTCTCAATACTTATAACGCATCGAAAATATTCTACATTGTATATAAATTTTTGGGGCTTTTTATTTTTGCAAAATACAATTTGTCATTATAGTATTTTGAAAATAGGAATTGTCGCACTTGAATCGTTTGTCTGAAAATATGCAGAGATTTCGAAATGCCAAAGTTCAATTTTTTGCTAAATTTTCAAGTATCTCTTAATCCGCTATTGAACATGTTACACATTTTATTAATCAATAAATATATTTTTCTGTAAATTTTAGATGGCGAAAAGAGATTGTCGTGAAAGAACTAACAAAGAAAAAAGAATGAGTTGGTTCGCTTCATCACTTTACGTGGCTGCTGCGCCGGAAGTTCCTTGGTTTTGTGGCGTATAGGGTTCCCAAGCCTTCGCTTTTTAGTGGAGCGCAGAACATAAGGCGCGCTTATACGTTTGACTTAGTCGGTGTGTTTCATCTCCCACGGGATGGTCCGCGAAGTGAAAAGAGGCGGCGGAGGTAACCGAGAGTTCGGTTTAGTCGACTCGGAGTTCTCGAGAGCACCTACTCTTTATTACTATGTAATTAATTGTAATGGGGATTTCAACTGGGAAAACAGTCCGGCGAGAGAGCTTCCCCTTTTGTACGTTCGTTCATTCTTGTTTCCTCCCTTTTCTCCGCGTTTTCCCACTGCGCTCGCGCATAATACGTATTTTCATATTTGTTTCTTCTCTTTGCCCTCGCAAACTCGCAGGCGAATAAGATTTGTCCCCGAGTTTGAATTCGCATGTGGCGCGTAATGTTCTTTTCGAGGTTATATCGCTGCAGGGAAACTCTGGGATTATGAGGTAGCTTGTTTGAGAGATTTATTATTGAGAAATTTAAATAAATTTCTAAACGCAGATTTTTATTTATTGTACATATAAGCATTTTTTAATGTATTAATTAAGTTTTAAATATTTTATTTAATTTCTTTGCTTTTCTCTGTTTCAGATCGACCCAAAGGTAGCATTTCCTAGGAGAACACATCCAAAGGTAAGAAAATTTATTATATCAATATCTCAAGTTATATATCGTTATTATAACTCGAGCCTCTCTCTTTATTCATCGTGTTTGCTATTTAATATTCAATTGCATCTACAACAATTTCACAAAAAAAAAAAAATGTTATAAAAGAAAATAACAATTAAAAATTATTAAAAATATCACCAAAACGATATATAATAGTATCAGAACTAATTAAAGAAAGCATATTAAATGTCAAAGTAATATCATTTCTGATACTATCGATAGTTTAATCTCGTAAACGCCAAAGTGCTAAAGATTGCCATTACGGATGCAAACTTTATCGGAAGCAATTTTAACGCGAGAGATCGAGATGGTTCATCCATTTGCGAACGCTGACGTTTATCATACCAGTCTCCAACGGCGTGGCGGAGTAAAATAGTGGGTTAACGAGAATTACTCGTACCCGGGCTCGCCACTACGTTCATTTGGAACTCGCTATTTTTGCCATGCGTAGAAAAAGCACGGATGTGGAAACGCGACGGTGGCAGTGGTGGCAGTGGCAGTATAACAGTGGCAAAGGGACGAGAGGGGCAACCGGGAAGGTACGAGCTTAAAAAGTCGAATGATGGCGCGTTCGGAGGGCGTGATTGAAGAGGGAATAATAAAGCCGACTCGCGTCTCTACGCAATAAGAGCAATTAAACGTAATTCATTTCGAAATCCGGAATTACTTCCTTGTTGGCTAGATAATCGCGGCAACGAAGCGACGTTCGGCCGCATCGAGGTAACGCGACGAAACTGTGTAAAGTGAGACGAGAAGGAATATAGTAGAGCCGATAGAGCGAGCGGGATAGAGGGAATTGTGTCGAGTGCACGCATACACAGAAGTGCGCGACAACGGGTAAAGTGGCGAGAGAAATTTGCGCGACTTAATAATATAAATGCCACGGACGCGAATTACCGGCGAGTGACTGAATTGCGCTAATTTTAATTGTACTCTTTCCCTTCTCCCGGCGCGACCCGCTCTTTTTTTCTGCCGCGGCTATTCTCCTACCTTTGTCCATCGTCCAGCGCGTTTTTACGTTTTTACGACGCGTGCGCGCGCGGCCATCCCTCTTTCCAGACCCCCGTCGCTCGATCCCTCGCTCGCGACCACCCTTCCAGCGTTTTATTTCGATGGCAGAATCCGAAGGGACATAATTTACGACGCGCGTGTGGCCGAAATCACGACGCAGCGAGCGCCGTCGATAATCACGCGTCTCACCAATCGGAAAGTGTCAGGCGACCTGAAAGTGAATGAAACATTTGCTGCAAGTCGAGAAAAATAAATTTTTGAATCATGAGAGAAATAGGACACGCCTTTTGGCTCCTTTTGGTAGACTTGAAATCGGAACAAATGTCACTTTTATGTTGCATATGACAATCTTGTTTGGAAGTTCCGACTAAATCTCATCTATCACAAACGCAGAATATTTCAGTGCCAAAAGTTCGAATCTCGATTTTAGAACTTTAGCAGTGAGAGATAAAATATTCTTGAAATAAATATAAGAGATGGAGATAACTTTTCGACACACACAAGATTTCGGAACGTTTTAATATTAGAAAAATAATAAAACGCACACACATATATATTTTTTTTTCTGGTTAGTTTTGTAAAGTTTTGTAATGGTTTGAAATATTTTATCTTTTACTCTAGTCAAAATTAGTCTGAGATTGGTATGATATTTTATCTTGTCTTATATTTAAAATCTAATTAGATATTACATTGTATACAATGCTTTAATAAGCAATATTATAGGTAAAATTTATGTGAATATAAGTAGAATGAAGTAATTAATTAGATCTGTCAAAGGTAAAAAAAACAAATTTAATATTTGGATCACAAACAATAAAACATTTTCTTAGTATTGATTAAATAATTCAATCTCGTATTGCACAATATGATCTAATTGACGACTCTATAATCGGAGTTTCTGGAATTTTCAGATTCTGAAACTTTCAGGAATACGAAATTTATACCGCAAGCCGTCCCGCAAACTAATGTGCGAATACATGGTGTTCGAAATAACACAACCGGTGCGATGCATGTAATATATGTAACGGATGTAACATATACGAGTCTACCGTTTTGGGAAACGGATATGAAACGTGGGAAATGTAATTTTCATAAAATAACGCGCGTCGGCTTCTCGCCGGCCCTACCTTTATTCCGTGCCTTCGTACTGCAAAGGTTTGAATAAGTTGTGGCAATGCACGCTCTGAGATCAGAAACAATATCGGGAAATCCTTCATGCGTTTTGCTCGATTTATAATAAGTATCAGGTGATTGCATAAGTTCGTGCCCGATTTAAATATAAACTTCAATAGATTATATTTTAGAGATAACACTTTTATTAATCAATTATATAGTCTCCATTCTTTTCTACAATGGTTTTCCAACGATCTATAAGCTTGTCGATTCCATTTTTGAAGAAAAAACTTGGTTTTTCTTGAAAAAAGTTTGTAAGGTGGTTTTCGACAACTTCCTCGGAATTGAGATTCTTGCCATTTAAACTATTCTGCAAAGACCGGAACAGATAAAAATCTGAAGGCGCAATATCTGGAGAATATGGCAGGTGCTGCAGAATTTCCCATTGCAACTCCTGCAATTTTCGCAGCGTCTGTTGAGCGACGTGTGCCCTAGCATTGTCGTGGTGGAAAATGACGCCTTTTCGATTGGCCAAAATCGGACGTTTTTCTCGAATAGCTGCAGCGAGTCTAGTTAGTTGCTCACAGTACTTGTCCGCCGTGATTGTTTCGCCGCGTCGGAGCAGCTCAAAGTAAATAATTCCCTTGCGATCCCACCAAACACACAGCAACACCTTCATCGGATGCAAGCCAGCCTTTGCTACGGGTTCTGCTCCTTCAGCTGCTGTTTTCCATGTCCTCTTTTGCTGTACGTTTTTGTAGAGAATCCACTTTTCATCGCCTGTTACCATTCGATCTAAAACAGGCTCTTTTTTGTTACGCTCGAGAAGAGAAAGAGCCACAGTCATACGGTTTAGCTTATTCCTTTCAGTCAGGAGATGCGGCACCCATGTATCAAGCTTGGAAACGTATCCAAGCTTTTTTAAATGACGAAAAGCGGTTTAATTATCGATGTTCAGCCTCTTAGCAATATCTTCAGTTGTAATCCTTGGGTTTCTTTCCACTAAGGCATGCACAATGTCATCATCAATGCCAGAAGGCCGTCCAGAGCGGGTTTGATCCTCCATGTTGAAATCACCATTTCGAAATCTGCCAAACCACTTTTTGACTGTTCGGAGAGCAGGAGCGCGGTCCAAATAAATGGTTTGAATATTTTTTTGTGCAATCCCAACACTCACGCCTTTCCGAAATTTATATAACATTACATGCCGCAAATGCACCTTTTCGTTTTCCATTTTTAATGATTTCTCTTATGCACAAATGGACTTATTTGAACAATGTCTGACGCTAAATTGACATAAGACAACGTCATCTATTCGGTGTAAGCAACAATTACCACACGAAAACAATAGAACTCCGCCATGCAGTAACTTAATGCCATCTATGAAAATCGGGCACGAACTTATGCAATCATCCAATATTTGCCATAAATGGAAAAAAATATGGGTCATTTTACATCCTCAAATTGTATTGATATCTTGTACGCATATCTCTTTAATTGTGTAAAAGGGACATGTGTGTTTATTATTCTCTAGAATAAAGATTGATGTGAATCCTGACAAATTTTTGCGACCTTTAACAGAGTAAGACGCAATACGTAGCGCGGTAACGAGCCCATTCGACTAACTTCGAATGTCTTTTTTTATTTTGTAAAAATGGTCCACTATTTTGCTTGACTGCACGCGATTCTGTATCGATGGCTGGGAGAGTCAAATTAATATCGCTCACTCGCGAGGACACAATGGAACACTTAATATCGCTAGTTCGTCAACACCCGAAACGCACGTTAGATCCGCTGAACTTTAGAAAGAGAACGGTACCCGCCGCAAAGTTCATTGAAATGTCACCGGGTGCTCCCGCGCTCGTCGTAACAACCTTCTTGAGACCGCACGTCGGAAGCGCTTTGTTACCGCACTTCCGGTCTGACGGAAATGGCGCAATGCGCTTCCGACACGGCGGAAAAGTAGCGACAGTCATTACCGAGCCCTCTCTCTTTCTCGCTTTATGCCGTTCCTTTGCGGCGAACGCACGAAAAAGGCTTCGGCAAGGATTTTTACTCGCTTTTCGGGGAAAATGCAAGGCGTACTTCAGGTAATTGTCGGGAAGTTTCGTAGCCGAAGAAAATGAATACTTACGGTAACTAGAGATCCATTTTTAATGAAGGATACTCACCTGCAACGCGATCTATACAAAAAAAAAGATGTTTATTTTTTAAATGATGTAAATATCACTCTCTGAGAAAATATCGGACAAATGCATTTTTTATCAAGTATTATTATATTTATTCTGAAATACATAAAATTTCTAAACAGTCTGTATGTTTAATCAAATAGCTGAAAAAATTTTTTTTATATACTGTGTTCTCTCTGCTTAATCGTGTATTCCATTTCATTGTTAAAGATACAGGCGTCGTGAGTGCGTCCGACCGCGAACGGGCACTTTTATGTAATTCAGTTAGGGTAGAAAAGCCGCCGTTTGGCGATAGTACGACGCGATAACTCGCGTCGTAACCACGATCTGGAAAACTATGGCGTAACGGGGGATAAGAGACGGAAGGTAACTAGCGCGACGCATAAACCATGCTAGCCATCGATGGCGCGGCCTCCCCTTAGTCGGAACGGACGGCTGCCGGGACGATAATGGCATCGCCAACCCCGGTATAATACCCACTTGTTACTGAGTAGTAATACGTACACGCAAGATACACAGACGTTATACACGCGGGAGGATATTACTCCAACCGCGCCGCAAGCTCGAGAGGCGCGCGGAAGATAGAGAAAATAAAGATGCGAAGAGAGAGAAAAAAAAGGGGAGGAAGGGACAGGAGGAAGCGAGAAAAGA